TTATTGTGTCTTTCTTAAGTTATCAGAAGTTTCCCGTGACTCGCTGGACTTTTCACACATTTACTGAAACCACACAACCTGGAAATTAAAAAAAATCGTGTTTTTATTTTCCATCAATTCTTTTTCACTTGGTGAAGCCATTTCGCGCCTTAACATCTCGTATGACAATAGATCGACAAAAGTAGACAAGATGAAAACATATATGCACTGCAAGCGTACACTCGTATAACAGCACCACAAATGCGCCTGCGTGATAGGCATGCAGGAGGACAAATATACCTATCGTGATGCGAACATTACTTCACGTATAGACTTAAGCATGTACTACAAGTGTGCCACCGATTTTCCGGCACCTTTTGTTCCAGAACCGTTCCGGATTTTATTCTTTCTTTTTCTGCAAATTACAGAAGAATCATTAAAGTTAATGGAGAGTATCTTTCTGATAGGAAATCGTTAAAATGGAAAAAAAAATAAAAAATAATAATAATTAATTTACTACCCATTCAGAAAATAATGTTAACCGTTGCTTCTAAATCTATGACACACCGTTGTTTTAAGATAACGTTAATATTTTTTTTCATTTATATATATATATATATATATATATATATATATATTGATGATCCCATTTTTTAAAGCTAGTATAATATTATTCAACGTGTGTAGGCCTACTTATAGCTAAGACAATATCTACACATGGAACAAAATACCGTCTTATAATTTATACATTGAAAATCTATAATAATAATAATAATAATAATAATAATTGGAAATCAGAGGAAGAAATGAAACTACAAGACGACAGCACTACCAGAAGGAAAATATTGAGAATTCATCTCTAGTGAAAGTCACCAGATACTACAGGATGGGAAATTCATATAACCTCATTAGTAAATGATACTGAGGAGAGTGCTGGAAGATTAAGAAAACTTGTTGTCACTTGACCTCAACGAAATTCACTAAATAATAATAATAAGAAGAAGAACAACAACAACAACGAAGAAAGAAAGAAAGAAAGAAAGAAAGAAAGAAAGAAAGAAAGAAAGAAAGAAAGAAAGAAAAAGAAGAAGAAGAAAAAGAAGAAGAAAAAGATAAGGAAACGTAAGAATGGTGGCGATGTTAAAATAAATATTATCAAACACTAGCAACAAATATACAGGGGGATAAGGAAGAGGTTGTGTCGACGGCTCTTGTAGGAGACTGGTGGGGGATTCCTTTACAGTGAACATTATATTCTGACTTGACAACTCTTGGTGTTAGTCTTTCATTTAAGCGTTTATAAGTAATGGATTTTAATATTGAACATTGTCACAGAACACCGTATGTCGTCGAAAAAGAGAATTGATTAAACCGAACGGCCGTATAGTCCCTTCTTCACTGACAACTGCTATTTATCATCACTACGACTACGGCTACTAATTGTACTCCAACTGCTGTTATTACAACAATTACGGCTTATGTACCATTGAAAAGAGAAGACGTATTTTTACGACACCGACGTATGATATTTCATTCTTGGTCGGAAAAGAATGGAAACCAATGTTTGTTTTCGTTTTTTGTTTTTTAAATTATTATTTTAAAATGTGATGAATAGAAGTGGTAAAAATTAGCAACCCCCTGTAAAAGAAGGGCCCCAAAAAAGTAGGGAAGAATTTTCTAAAGGGAAAGAACAGACAGAAAAACGAAGGATTTATTTGTACCATATTGGAGCATACGATGGAGCGGCCTTACACAACTCTGGCATTGTTCTAACAATCGCAAAACCAATGTTAACATGATGAAGCATTAGGCTATTTGTCTAAACTCTGAAAGAAGGACGCCACACACACAGGCATACACACTCGCACACACGCGCACACACACGCGCACACACATATCTACATATATATATATATATATATATATATATATATATATAAATACATACATGCATATACACTTATATATGCTTATATATGCATGTGTATCTACATACGAAAGGAGTAATTTAATGTTGCGTCGGTGTTAGAGGTTATAAACACACACACACACACACATACACACATATATATATATATTCATGCATAGTGTATGTATGTTTATTTCTTTCGATAATTTATATTAATGTATATACGTTGAAAAGGGCAAACATACGTCTGTTTCCTATTACAAACCGTTTAAGCTTTATACACACACACACAGACGCCCCCCCCACATATATATATATATATATATATATATATATATATATATATGTATATATATATTTCAATAGATGGTCAAATCGATTTGTAAATTCTTGTTGCACAGAATCGTATATAAACGTGTTTATGTACACAAGCGAAAGTGAATGTACCTGTAGAATTGATACTCTACTATAAAACAGAAAAGTGCTTGTTGACCATCACATATTTAAGTAGAACGTCTATAAACGTAAGGGAGCCATTCTCTTATTGTTGTTTGACGCTCTCAGTGTGTTTTCCCCCTTTTGTATTCGTTGTGAATGTCTATATTTTTCAAC